GTGTTGGTGTGACTGTGTGCATTTCTCCAGGTGCTGGGTGGCAGTATGGAAGTCTCTGGGTGTTGTGGTGAGTGTGTGAGTGCCTCTGGGTATCCATACGATAATGTGTAGGTCCTTGGGTGTTGTCTGAGTGCTGGCATGACTGTGTGTGAGGGTCCCTGGTTACTGATGTGACGTGTGTATGGGTCTTTGGTCACAAGATGAAGAAGTTCTGCAGACCCCTTGCGCAATACTGTGAATCTACTGACCACTGAACTCTACACTTAAAAATGATGTATCTTATGTGCTTTTTGACCACAATTTAAATTTTTTAATAAATAAAAATTAAAGAAACTTTAGAGTCTTTGGGTATTGTCCAGGTGGTGGTGTGACTGTGAGCCTAGAAATGTGTGTGACACTGTATAAGCCCTCTGTTGTTGTCTAGGTGTGACCGTGTGTACCATTCCCTGGGTGTTGGTTTTGGTGTTTGGCCTGACTGTACCTTGCAGCTCGGAGCTGTCGTGACCGAGTGTGTCTCCCCAGGGGGGTCAGTGGCGATGGGGCTGGCCTTGCTCTGGAAGACAGCAGGGGCGCCCCGGGCAGTGGAACCCCTGCAGTCCCGCATCCTGGGGTGGGGTGGGCCTGGCTCACCGTGTGCGGCAGCTGCAGGGTCGGGCAGGACCACGTGGGCGTGCAGCTCCTGAAGCTGCTGGTGCAGCAGGTCGAGCCGGCGTGAGGAGCCCCGCAGCACCAGCTCCACAGGGCCGAGGCTGCGGCCCAGGTCGGTGGTTGCCCGCCGCAGGTTCTCGGCGCCCTCCTTCAGCTTCAGCTCCTTGCGGATCTCTCGTCGCAGCCGCTCCCGCTCCAGCTCCAGCTGCTGCTGCACCCCAGGGGCCGCCAGGTCCGCGCCCGCCAGGCCCAGCTGCTCCAGCAGGGACCAGCTGCGCGGCTCGCTCTGTGGGGGACGGGGCAAGGTCAGTGGGGCCAGGGGTCTCTGCGGTGCAGACCTCGCTCAGGCCTGGCCTGGCCTCCTCCCAGACTGAAAATCCCAGCACAGGGCTTGCTCCATGTCCTCTGACACGCCCCCCAAACTGGGAGGTGAAACAAGGCCCTGTCCCAGCTTTCTGACACCCCCAAACTGCGAGGTCCCAAGGGCAGGGCCTTCTTTCTTCCCTGTCCTCTCAGACTAGGGGGCCATAGGTAGAGTCCTGTCTCCCTTCATCCATCCTTACACAGTGGGAATCTAGAGGGCAGACCCCATCACCCCACCACTGTGCCCCCCCAAGCTAGCGGGTCCCTGAGGAGAGGCTCTATCTCCCTTCTACTGTCCTCTCAAATTAAGGGGTCTCAGAGACAGGACTCGTCCCCCTTCTGTTGCCCCTCAAATGATAAGGTCCTGAGGGCAGACCCCCCTTCTCCCCTCTGTTGCCCCCCTAAACTAGGAGGTCCCAAGGGTAGGCCCCATCTCCTCACCCCTTTCCTCAAAATTAGGAGGTCCTGAGGGCAGACTCCATCTTCCCCCTGTGGCTCCCCAAACAAGGAAGTATCAAGCACAGGCCTCTGATGTGCCCCCAAACCATGAGTTTGGGGTCCGAAAAGCAGGCCTCTGTTCCTCACTGCTGTGCCCTCACACAAGGAGGTGCTGAGGGCCGTCCTCACCTTCCCTCTGCTGTACCCCCAAGCTAGAATATCCCGGGGACAGTCCCTATCTCCCCTCCTTTCATCCTCTACAACCACGACCCTGAAGACCAGAGCCCTGTCTTCTTCCTCCTCTATCTCCCCAAGCTGGGAGCCCAATGGGCCCCAAACAGCTTCATCTTTCAAACAAAAACTCCAACGCCACCATCTCTTCTCCTCTAGGTCCAAAACCGAGAGGTACTGAGGGCAGGGCCTCCAGCCTGTGCCACTGGGGTCCTCCTCTGCCTACCCCCCCACCAAGACCTCAGCCCCCACCTCCAGCTCCTGGTCCAAAGGGGCATCGGCCTCCGCCATCCTGGGTCCCGGCTGAGGACCCCGCCCTCTTCCTGAACCTCAGCCTGGCCAGGGCCTCTCGCTTGCCACTTCCTCTTTCCTGCTTACTCCCAGCAACTCTCGCGACAGGCCAGCTCTGGGGCTCGGGGGCATCTAGAGGACCTTCCTCTTGGCCCCCACTCCTGGGATGAGCCTGCTTCTCGAGAGGTGTCCCAGGGATGGCCCCAGCTCCCTGTCCCAAGAGGATGCCCAAGGGGTACACAGCATGCGCACACTCACAAGCCCACTATCATGGACATGAAGAGCAGCCTCCCTGGCGTACACAGGCTGGACCTGGGTGTGTATACACTCATACACCTATAGGCACGTGCATGGAACACGGGCTGGCAAGTGTGTGCACACCCCCACGCCTACCCCTGTGCACACTTGAATGTAAACGCCCATGAGTGCTCACGTGGGCGGGCCAGCCTCTTTCCCGCAGATGCAGCCTGTCCCAACTTCCGGCTTCTGCTAAGTTTGGCCTCTGGCTGCTGCTGACCACAGCTCAGGGGCCTCAAGGCCCGGCCAGCCCAGTGGCACCTCCCCGAGGCCCACATGGTGAGGAGACAGCACTGGAGGGTTGCGATGAGAGTGCCACCAATACCAGCGGCCCGCTAAGGCTCAAGTATGACTCCTACTAACAAGGGCGGTTACGACAAGCTGCCCCTGGGTCAACAAATGCAACTCCATGAGGCAGGTGCTATTATCACCCCATCTTCAAGAGGAGGAAACTGAGAATGGGGGAGGGGACAGCTCAGTAGTAGAGCGCATGCTTAGCATGCATGAGGTCCTGGGTTCGATCCCCAGTTCCTCCGTTAAGTGAAAAATAAACAAATAAATAAACCTAATTACCCCCCTTACCACCCCCCAAAAACGAGGAGGAAACTGAGCCCTGAAGTGGTGACATAACTTGCCCAAGGTCCTGCAGCCAGCAGGAGGCAGAACTGGGATTTCAAACAGGAGTGCCTGGAATCTGAGCGCTGGCTAGGTGGCAAGCATGACATGAAGACCCCCACATGCATTATCTGCTGCCACCGTGAGAAGCCAATTCACAGATGAGGAAAGTCATGGTTGGCTCCCGAGCAACCTCAAAGGCAGCTGCCCCCAGGGAGGATTTACTTCAGGGCAAAAGCATCATTCCCACGAACTGACTGACCCTCACATTTAGCCTGGGCAGCTGCCGTTTTTCTGCCCCACTTTGCAGGTGAGGAAACTGAGGCTCAGATGGCAGCAGCAGTTCTCAAAGGGGGGAGGGGGTTTCACCACCACCACGCCACTTCTGGGGGGCATTCAGCAACATCCAGAGACATTTTTGGCAACTGGCGGTGCTACTGGCATCTACGGGGTTCGACAATGCACAGGACAGCCCCCACCTCAAGAATGATTCAGCCCCAAATGTCAATAGTGTGGAGGCTTAGAAACCCTGGATTAAAGGACAGAGACTCACACCCTGAGCTGCTGACTGTGACCACCAGTAAGGATTTCACAGCAGCCCCACCTGCAGAGTGTGCTGGCCTGGTCTCTGCCTTTCCCCACCATGAAAACCCTCTTAGCCTCATTTTTCCGACGGCAGAACCAAGGCTCAGAGAAACAAAAGCACTGGGCCTACCACACACCATGAGGAAGTGAAAGCTCTGGAATTTAAATCCAGGCTCACCTAATACCACTTGCTACCAACCAGGCACCACCCACCCCCCAGCTCCACCCCATCCCCAGCAGGCAGAGCAGGGGTACAGCCAGGAGCAGGGCCAGGTAAAATGGGGGAAGTCCAGGCAGAGAGGTGGAGCAGGCTCCCTCAGCCCCACCTCCTCTGGCAGCTGAGGCTTGAGAATATGCAGAGCAGAGAGAGAGGCCCGGCCTCCTGGGTTCTCCCTTGGGTGACTCACTACTACCCAGGGCAGGGGTCACCTGAAGGCCAGCAAGATGAACCCAAGAATCAGGAGCCTGGCCTGGCCTTGGAGAATCCCTCCTCCCTCAACTCCCACCATGAAGCAGGAGATCCCAAGTCGAGAGGGCCCATCTCCCAGAATTCCCCTCTTCCCAGAGTGGCCAGGGACCTAGACCCCATGTCCGGAGATTTCAATGCTTTGGGTGTTTCCGGAATCTGGACAGGACATCCGTTTGCCGGACACAGAACAGACAGGCACACACTGGGACAGACAGAGGGACAGGTTAGCAGACCCAAGCAGCCACGAGAAAGGAATGACTAGAAAGAGGGAAGAGAGCAGGCAGGAGATGGGAAAGGGGACCAGGGCATGGGTCCAGCCTCGTTCCAGGAATCACAGCCTCCGTCTGGGTCATGTTTGCTACACACCAAGCGCATGCATGCGCCAGGGGATTCCTATACAGCCCTCCCAGGGCTGAGGGGTAGAGGCAGGGACCCCAGCCCTCCCCAGCCCCCAAGGTCTGACCTTGTGTGATCGGCAACACCAGATACGCCCAGCTCCTCGGCAAGGCTGGCAGGCCATCAGCAGGACTGGGGTGGGGGACAGGGGGTCACAGGGGAGACACAGAGGGGATGTGGGGGCAGGTGCAGAAGGAGACGAGAACCCAGTTACACAGCAACCACAGGACGATGGAGGGATGATGAGGCACTATTGGGGACACCAGAGGTACAAGACATGTCTCAGACTTGGGTTACTGAACCAAAGAAGGTCAGAAGTCACCCTGACCCTGCTTGTCACAGATAGGAAGATGAGTCCAGGGCTGTGATGTCCACAAGGTGGCACACAGAGAATCTGGCTGGGAGGCCGACTGGTGCCAGTCACCTGTGCCTGTGTGTATATGTGTCTGTGCAGGGGGGTGACCCAGCCCTGCCATCTATGCCCAAGCAGGATTCCCAGTATAAGAGAATCCCCAGCCTGTTGACCTGGACACTCTTCACCTGGAGTAAGGTTTCACCTGGTTGTGTGGGTTCCCAGTCCCCAGACCTAATGAGGTGACTCGGGCACTTCCGCCAACAGGTGCCAATCTGGGTGGCGTCGGGACCATTATAAAGCGTCCGGAGGCGAGGGAGGGAGGCCCGCCGCTGGAGCTTTGTTGTGCGGGGGAGGAGAACGGGCCTGGCGGCCTCCTCCCCTCCCGGAGCACCGTGCCAGGCACCTGCCCAGGTGGAGCGGCACCTGCCTGGAACCGAACGCTGGAGAGGCGGGGGTGAGTGGCGGGGGCGACAGGCACCGGGATGCACAACCAGCCACAGACACCCGAAGTCGAGCCTCCGCCGCGCCCCTTCTAATTTTCCGGGAAGGGCGGAGCTTGGGGATGCTGCGGGAGCTCCCCGCTCCCCCACTGTGCGTACCTCCACCTGCCGAGAAGGGGACTGTGCTGGCTCCACGATGCCGACCCAGGGAGGGGGTACCCAGGGCTG